TTTCTAGACTGATTCTTGCCTGCATATTTATACCTGCCTCTGGAAATTTCCATTACATGCATCCGACGAAGTGGGTATTCACCCACGAAAGCTTATGCTTCAATATGTCTGTTAGTCTATAAGGTGCCACAGGACTCTTTGTTGCTTTATATAGTTTTATAAGAAGATCTGATTTCTATCAATTTATGGTAAAAATATTGAACATAAGTGGGTGCATATCTGAGAATGGCCAATCAGTGTAATTAATGTGTCCCTCTGTTGTAACTGATTCATTCATTAATTCAGAGAAGTCCCTATGACCTGTGTTATGCAGGTCAGACTATATGATCACAAGGGTCCCTTCTGGCTTTAGCATCTATCATTCACCTATATTTCATTTGCAGGTGACCTGTGATTTAGATTTTGAGGTTATTAATGAAACTAACATATATTTAGGCTTAGAAGGATTAAATTTTTATCAGTAAATGTCAATTTCACCATGCACACAAAAAACAACAAAACCTATTTCCATCAATAATCATGAAAATTCATAGATAGGCCACGTAAGAAAAATGTTGCTTTTTAGACCTGATTAGAGTTTGATGTAAGGATATTTAGTGTATATATTTTGACATGTTGACAATTTTTGTTTTCATAGAATCATAGAAATGTAGGGCTGGAAGGGACCTCAAGAGGTCATCAAGTCCAGCCCCCAGTGCTGAGGCAGGACCAAGTGTACCTAGACCATCCCTGATAAGTGTTTGTCCAACCTGTTCTTAAACACCTCCAATGATGGGAATTCCACAACCCCCTTGGAAGCCTAGTCCAGAGCTGAATTACCTTTGTAGTTAGAAAGACAAGGTGGGTGAAGTAATATCTTTTATTGGACCAACTCCTTTTGGTGAAAAAGACAAACTTTTGAGCTACTCAGAGGGTCAAAGCTAAATACAAGGTGAGACAGATTGTTTAGCATAAGTACTTACCACATATTATAAGAGACCATTCAAGGTGAAGTGGCCTGTTAACACCCCTCCAGTCACAGGAGAAAAAGCGGGTGGGAGGGAGGAGAGAGAGAGAGGGAGGGGTAGTGGATTACAGATTTTTGGACTAAATCATAAATCCAGAGTCTTTATTAAATCCATTATTTTTAGCATCTCGCAAAGTTGTGAATTTAAGCTCCTGGGACCAGCCCAGCTACAACAACACGGCAAACAACATGTAGTCAAAAACTTATCCCTACTATCTAACCTAAATCTTCCTTGCATAGAAAACTTTAACATGTTTGAATTATTGTCTGACCCCACAATTATTTCCTACCACTAAAAAAATTTAAATAGATACAAATAATAAAAAAAATGCTTAAAACCCCTAATTTTATACAACCGTGAAAATTTAAATGAATTAAAAATAGAAAAAATGCTTAAAATCAACTTTGTAATTATCCATCAAAATTATAAAAAAATACAAACCAAAGGCTGGCCAAGCCTATCTATATTTAATAATACCTGATGCATTAGACATTAAGGTTGTGCTGAAAAATGCATTGCTTCATGCTTAGTGAGACTGCTGCTGTTGAGTGCGTGGGTAGCATCAGAGTGAGGTGTGGTTTTAACCATTAATTGCATTGCTTTTAAATATTGGCAAATGAAAAGAGAAGGAAGTAGATTGGCGACACTTAGCAAGAATCATAACTGGTTTTGAAACCAAGTGTTTTCTTTTGGGCATTTCCCAGGTATGTGTGCGGGTGGAGTTTTTTTTGAAAAACATCTTTCACTGTTTCCTTTTGTGTAGGTAAATAAAACACATTTTTTTAAAAATGAAATGAATGGAAAGGGTGAGTCACTAGATTATTAAAGCAAAGAAGTGAGCAGTGCTGGCATTTCTTATAACAAGCCCTGCTGCATTGTGTGTGTCTGACATGCTACAAATATTCATTGTTGTATTACTATAGACCCTAGGCACTCCAGGCATGGCCCAAGATCCCACTGTGCTGTATGCACAGATAGAGATGGCCCCTGCCACACAGAGCTTACAGACTAAATAGACAAGACATGGAGGCATAGAGGAGGGAAGTGATTTGCCCAAGCTCACTTACCGAGGCAGAGCCAGGAATAAAAACCCAGGTCTTTTCAGCTCCAGTCTGGTGATCTGTTCTCAAAGCAAGAGCAGGCTCAGATACCCCAGTGAGGGGCAGCAATATGCAACCCAAAGCTAGAGCGCCTACCCCCTGCCTCTCTGTGCCTTGATTATCCCAGCTGGCAAACATGGCTGCTAGTAATTGTGAGGGGGAAGGGATAACTCAGTGGTTTGAGCATTGGCCTGCTAAACCTAGGGTTGTGAGCTCAGTCCTTGAGGGGACTACTTAGAGATCTGGGGCAAAATTGGTCCTGCTAGTGAAGGCGGGGGGCTGGACTCCATGACCTTTCAGGGTGCCTTCCAGCTCTATGAGATAGGTATATCTCCATTTATTATTATTATATTAGTAATGCCTTGTTGCACATGATGGGCCTGTTCCCGTCTGTCAGTGTGGCTGCACTCTGGAAAGGCACAGTCATCTGGCCAGCCTGACTTTTCCAGCTGCTACGCTCCGGTGCAGAGACAGGAGCAGCTGAGGCAGCGTCCCTGAATGCAGAAGGAACAGGTTAGGGGCAGAGATCCCTGCCTGACTCTGCTTCCCCAAAGGTATTTAGGTGCCTCCTCGCTCCCAATTGGGAAAATCCAATTTTCTGTTGAAAACCAGGCTTGGCAGAAAACTCCCAGCCAGCTGCAGAAACCCAAGCCAGACAGCTGGTGTCCCTGAGGGAGGCAACTGCCTGCATCAGCCAGCCTGCCCAGGCCAAGGGACCCGGCTCCCTGCTGGGATGGAGTGGGGATTTCCTGCAGTGGCTTTATGAATGGATTGCCTGACAGTGACTGGGGTGGAGCAGGAGCCACAAGGGGTTCATGTCACATAACCAGGCCAGGCTGGAATGCAGGGTCGATAAGGCCTGGCTGAAAGCGACCCCTATCTACAGAGGGCCTAGAAAGACAACGGAGACCCCCAGGGCTGCACGACTGCCATCTAACAATGGGGAAGACGTGAACTCAGCATGGCTCTGCAGGACAATGGCACTGGGACCCGCTGACCTGTTGGAGACTCAGCAGCTCTCATGTGGGCCTGACAAACACACAGAGGGAGAGAGCCAACCATGGATTCCACAGCAGGCTGGCTGGGTGGAGCACCAGCTTGGCCAGGATGGATGATGTCTTAACCTTTGTCCCTCAGGACTCCCCGTGCTGTGTGCCAGCAGCCTAATGGTTGGAAAAGGCAGCCTGGTGTCCCTGCAGACACTGGCTGTGGTGCCCAGGGCCCTGGAGAGAGTGAATAGCTCTGACCAGGCATCTGGCTCAGTTGGACTCACGGCTCAAAGCAGGAGGGCTGGAGTCCAGTGGCTCAGTTTTGGAGGCGCTGAGGCCGTGTGGCCAGCCCTGGAGGAACAGTGAGCCCCCTCGGGGGACTGGCACACTGAAGGGGGTCCTCTGGGACAGTTTAAAAGCTGGGGCATAGCCCAGATCTTGTGGATCCATCACTCCTGCCCTCTGATTTCAGCCCAATTCATTGCCCTGTGGGAGCTGGTTCCATGCTGAGTCATAGCCTGGGAGGCACCAGAGGGTTTGGGGGGGCAGGGGCACTAATTACCTTATGCCCCCCTTTCTGATGAGGAGATTGGCCTGAATGGCAGAGGGGTGAGCTATTAGGGCCAGACGCTCTGGTGATGGACACAGAACCTGGTGGTGGATGGGAGAGGCATCAGGGGATTGAGACTGGACTGGCTTTGAGCAGGGGGTTGGACTAGATGACCTCCTGAGGTCCCTTCCACCCCTGATATTCTATGATTCTATGATAGACAGGGGATGTTCAAACCTCCTCAGGCCATGACTCAGCTCATCCATTCCTGTGCCCGGGACAGGGCTTTAAGCCACCTTTAAGACTAACAGATGTATTGGAGCATAAGCTTTCGTGGGTGAACAGGACCCTCTGTTGCTTTTTACAGATCCAGACTAACATGGCTACCCCATGTTACAAGTCACCTTTGTGCTCCCTGCGTCGGTGGCCAGGTAGCCTTGGGGCTGCTCTAAGTTACACTCTGCTCCCTTTAGGAAGCAGAGCCCAGCTGAGCTGCTGTGCACTCTGGCCACACCCCCTGGGCTGTGGGGCTAAGCAGGCACTGATACCAACTAGGGCGGGCCAGTTCTCAGGGAGCAAGCATAATTCACTAATGCACCCAGCTCCCACCATGGCATCGCTCACCCAGCAATAGTGCTGCCCCACAGAGACTCCAACAGGCAGAACCTCCCTGAGCCAAACTGCACTATCCCTGCCCCCCAGCAAGATCTGGGCTGTGTTCATACCCCGGGCCCATCGATGCAGGTGGGGACTTGCTGCAAGCTGGCAGAGATCTCCCTGGCAAAGACCAAGGAGGGGTTAGTCATTGTGCTTCCATTGTGGGGCAGAGGGAAGGATGGGGGGCTGCACAGGGAAGTGTCCCCTTCATGCTGCATTTCCTGGGTTTGAGCCGATTCATTCTGGAGCAGGATAGGGCTAATGGTCAGAGCACATGAGTCGGGAGCCTGTGTTCTCATCTCAGCCACGGCAGGCGGGCAAGGCTTTCCCGCCCTCAGTTTCCCTCTTTGGAGCCAGCACCCATGTGTGTAAATTGCTTTAAGTTCAATCTGAGAAGGAGTCCAAGAGCCCCTCTGTCCCCCGGGGGGTGGGGTGGGAATCGACTGGCAGGGACAGGGGAACCACCAGTGCCCCTGATCTGTGGGGCACCAGGGATCACAGATCACAGGGCTGTTGAGCCAGCACCTTTCCCAAGTTCTCCCCTGGGTGGCTGGGTCACAGACCCCACCTTCCAGGGCTTTGGCTTAGGTGACTGTTTCTTGCTTCCTGTCCCATCCTGAGGCAGCAGAGGGCACAGGAGCCCATCTCCCCCGTGGGCCTGGGGACCCCAGGGAAGGGAGGAGCCCAGAGCCACCTGCAAAGTGAATTAACTCTTTATTTACAGGCGGAGTGAGGCTGGCACAGAGAGATATGGCATGGTGTCTATGTGTGCAGAGCTGGGGAAGGGGAGGAGGAGTTCACCCCCTCTCTCCTCAGTCACAGTGATGGGGTTGGCATCCTTTGACCCAACTGACCAAAGCAGTGCTCAATGGCACAAAAGCAAAGGGCTAGTGGGGAGGGACAACAGAGGGCATCATGCCCCCGATCCTCCCCCAGTAACACCTGCTCAGCTGCAGGGCAGGAGCCTCAGGGCAGCATGGGGCTGTGCAGTGTGAGGGGCGGACAGAGCAATCCCCACGGGAGCATGTTCCATCCTTCCTCCAGATCTACGGGGGGTGGAGGGGATGCATACTTGGGGGAGGGGCTTTTCCCACCATAGAGTCCATCCCTTCCATTGGCCCTGCCCCCAGCAGCACTCAGGCCCCGCCCCCCAAGGGTGATCTGCACTGAGGCCCCCGGTATCAAATGCCCTGCCCCCAGACGTTGGCATAGGGCAGCTGCTGGGCCCTAGCACCATCCATGGCAGTACCCTGGGCTATGGGGGCAGAGCCACAGTCAGAGGCAAGGCTACGGGGGTGGAGTCTCACCCCGAGCCAGGCTCTAGGTCCACGCTGGCCTGCCGCACCATCCTCCTGGGTCGTGATGGGGGGAGGGTGCCTCCTCCAGTCTGGGGCTCCTGTGATGGGGGCGGGGGGCTAGCAGGCTCCTCCCTGGGAGGTCTTTCCCAGCCAGCTGTCTCTAGCCGCTCCTCGAACTCTCTGGTGCGGCTGAGCACCAGGGCGGCATCCATGAGCTGGGCCACAGAGTAGCGGTGCTCCATGGCACGAGCCCGGCGTGGAGGCGGGGCCCTGGGGCTGGGGCCCTCCACGTGCTTCACAGCCTTGTGCACCTTGCCCGGTGCCGGGTGGTAGGAGATCTGCTTGCACGGCTGGGCATGGCTTCGGGGGACCTGGCGGCTGCGCTGCTGGCCCCGTCGCTTGCCTGTCTTGTCTGTTGGGGCCCGCGATGGGTGCTGCTTGGCCTTGGAGCCTGGCACGGCTGCCCCCGGCTCCTCCTGGTCCTGTGGGGGTGATGGTGAGGCTGCAGGTTCCGGGGGGGGGGCACTCCACAGTGGACTCGCGCTCTGAGGCAGCAAACACCTGCAGGAAAGAGGAAAGGAGGCGATCAGAGAACAGGTTTGCTCGGGGCACTGATAGACTCAGGCTCTCTCTCTGCTGGGCCCCAATCCCTCCCCTCCTGCCCCACACATGGGCCCCACCTCTAGCTGCGTACAAGGCCGTCCTTACCCATACACAAAGTACGCAGCTGCGTAGGGCACCAGGAAATTTGGGGCATCAAATTTCCTGGTGCCCTGCGCAGCTACGTGCTGCCTCAGCCCCGCCTCTTCCCGCCCCTGCTCCGCCCCTTCCCCTGAGGACTTCAGAAGCGGTCGGGCTCCCTGCACTCACCGGTAAATAGAGCAACCCAGCCCTAGCCTGCTCTGCTCCCCGGCTCCCAGCCACACTGCTGGCGAGTGCTGGGGGTTGGTTCCCCCCTGACCATAGACGCCGACTCCGGGGGTGCTCCGGGGCTGGAGCACCCACGGGAAAAAAAATGGTGGGTGATCAGCACCCACCGGCAGCTCCCCGTGGCCCCGCCCCACCCCCTGCTCACCTCCGCCTCCTCCGTTAGCGTGCTGCTGTTTCCTGCTTCTCCTCCCTCCCAGCGCTTGCACTGCGACACAGCTGATTCGCGGGGCATGGAGGGAGGGGGGAGGAGGGGGAATGCTGCACGCTGGGGGAAGAGATCCAATAGGGGCAGGGAGGAGGCGGAGTTAGGGCAGGGACTTTGTGGATGTGGTTGGAATGGGGGCAGAGATGGGGTGGAGTCGGGGTGGGGGACATGGGCACCCACTGGCGCCGAGAAAGTTGGCGTCTATGCCCCTAATCCCCAAGCCTGTGAACCAGGGGAGCAGAGCAAGCTGGGCTGGGTCACACCACTTCCTGCAGGAAGTGGTCAGCCCCACCCCCCCTCACGGAAGCCTGGGGCGGGGCCCCACACAACCCCCCCCGCGTAGGGCACCAAAATAGCTAGGGACGGCCCTGGCTGCATAGCACCTTCCCATACCCCTGGATCCCACCAGCTCGGGCTTCCCCCTCCCCCATGATGCCCCCTGGCTGTGCCACTCACCTCCCCCTCAGCAGCACCCCCCAGTGGGGTGGTGGCATCAGGGCTGTCCATCTCGCTGATGCTCCTCATCACGGCGTAGAGGTTGATGCGCCGGTCGCGCGGTGTCTTGGGTGTCTCTGGCACCTGCAGCACAGCCAGGTGCCCCCGGACCTCCTCAGCCCCTGAGTCATCTGAGGCCCCCGGCTCCTCTGCCTCCTGCACCCAGATCTGGGGCCCTTCGCCCCCTGCTGGGGCCTGGGGCTGGGCTGGCTCCTCGGGGGGCTCCCGCAGGGGCCGGAAACAATACTGGGGCGTCGTGACTGGCTCCTCCTCCTGCCGCCCTGGCTCCTCCTCTGAACTCAGTATCTCCTGGCACAGGCTCCCCTCGCTTTCCGATTGGTCGCTGCCAGTGTCACTCCCGTTCACCGTGTCCTCCCATTGGCTGTCTCCTGCCTTCTGCTCCCACAGGCTGCTGTGCCGGCTGTGCAGAGACACACTGAGCTGAACATGAGGCACTGGGGTTGTCACAACAACCCCTGCTGGGGAGGGGAAGGCAGGGCTGGGCAGTGCAGGCTCCTCCCCGACCTGGATGTCACAGTGCCCCATGCTGGGGAAGGCTGGGCTGGGCAGTTTCCTCCCCCTCCCTGATGTCACAGAACCCCTGCTGGGGGTCAAGGCTAGGCAGTGAAGGCTTCTCCCCCTCCTTGCAGTTACCTGGCGTCCAAGATGCCCTGGTAGAACTCCAGCTGCTTCATGAAGCTGGGGTTGGGGTGCACGATGGGGCGTTGCTCCTGCACATGCCGGTAGGCCCGCTCCAGCGCCCAGCCGTACTCCTTCATGGCGTAGGCAATCACCGTGGAGGCTGAGCGGCTTACGCCCATCTTGCAGTGCACCAACACCCGCAAGTTCTGGGCCCTGCTGGGGGATACGGGCTGGTGAGGCAGGCACAAGGGGCTCAGTGCACCTTCTTCACCTCCCCTTCCCCAGCTGTCTGCAGACAACTCCAGAAGGGAGCTCACAGCAGTGAGCCCAAGATCGCAGCATGGGCCGGCGCAAGTGAAAACAGAGGCTGTGGTACAATCCTGGATAGCTAAGTACCGGCCGAGATTCACCTACAGAGCAGCTGCTTTACCTTGGAAGCGGATAAATCCATTAGTAGTATCACTCCGACATGTGAGTGCTGGGGAGAATTTGTCTCCTGGTATGGAAGACTGCCCAAAAGCACATCCCTGGGGAACTGCGACCTGGAGACCCTTTGGTGCCAACTGGCAGAGGGCATAAACGGACATAGGGTTTTACAGGTATCCCCTGGGTCTAACGTCTACATAATAGTGCACCGAAGGGAGGCACGTGAGGCCTCTACCAACAGCCAGTAATTTGCTGGTTGCCCTAATCATGGTGAGATGTATGGATGTATCTACTGAACACTGCATTCTTAAGGTAGAATCATAGAATATTAGGGTTGGAAGAGACCTCAGAAGGTCATCTAGTCTAACCCCCTGCTCAAAGCAGGACCAACTCCAACTAAATCATCCCAGCCAGGGCTTTGTCAAGCCAGTCCTTAAAAACCTCTTAAGGATGGAGATTCCACCACCTCCCTAGGTAACCCATTCCAGTGCTTCACCACCCTCCTAGTGAAATCGTTTTTCCTAATATCCAACCTAGACCTCCCTCACTGCAACTTGAGACCATTACTCCTTGTTCTGTCAGGTATGTAAGTTATGAAGGGAAGGAACAGGTTCTGTTCAGGCAGGGGGTAGGAAATGCTTCTCTCTCTCCCTGGCTGACCATTGTGTCGTGTGTGGCTTACAATATAAATCAATCTGCGTATGGAGCCACCAGCTAATCAAAACCATGAGGGCGACAAGAGCTCACAATGTCTACAGGAAGCAACACCCGGCAGGAGGGCGGACAGGTTCTGACTAAGATCAAAGAATTAGTGTGGTATATGGGGAAAATGCAGAGAGACATCAATATTCCTTCACCTAGAGCACAAGCTGTGAGGCAGCTTGTCTTATGGAGGCGACAGCTGGCCTGGTTAATAGCTGGGAGAATGACCCTGGGTGAGCTAAGCCTCTTTGAGACAGGACGGTGTGTAAGCTCTAGAAGGCAGGTTATGATTTTGTTTTAGAGGTAACCAGCTGCTTCCAGAGCTTCTAAGTACTTGCTGTTATTTCAGTCTCTTTTCTTTGATAAATAACCTTATCCTTGTTTTCCCTATAAACGTATCACAGTGCAGTGAGCTGAGATGTAAGTGGGAAGCTGAGGGGCATGGTCCCAAATGAACAACGGATCGGTACATACTGCGAGTGTCCAGGGAGCTGGGGCTGGATGCTCCAGGGGAACGCTCGGGGCAGGGCCGGCTCCAGGGTTTTGGCCGCCCCAAGCAGCCAAAACAAAAAAAACAAAAAACAAAAAAAAAGGCGACGGCAATTCGGCGGGAGGTCCTTCACTCCCAGGCAGAGTGAGGGACTGTCCGCTGAATTGCTGCCAAATACCTGGACGTGCCGCCCCTCTCCCGAGCGGCCACACCAAGCACCTGCTTGAGAAGCTGGTGCCTGGAGCCGGCCCTGGCTCGGGGGTTGGAGTGTGCCTGTCGCTCATCTGCAGATGGATAGTGGTGTCTGCTCAGGCTGAGAGGGGGATGATTGTGTTGCCAGTGGAGTCAGGGAGCTGATCTCTGGCAGGCGCAGACAAGGCTCTTTCATGCTAAGGGCAGGTGGTAGTTAGCTGCACAATCCTGGGTACCGCCGGGAAGCATCCCAGGGAATCGGACACTATCTGTACCGGGGCTTCAGAACAGACAAACCAGCAATACAGGAGAAATTCAGACCTGTTTGACCTGGATCCCTCTGGCAACAAACTTTGCCCTGACAGCAAAAAAGCACAGGCCACCATTCGCGAGCTGACCCCCATGGACTACAACCAAAGTGCACTGCCGCAATCACCCAAAGACACATTGCAACCCATAAACCCGCCCACACAGCCACGTGCCGAATGGAACAAGTCAAGTAGGAGACAGCAAAGTCCGCAATGAGCAGCTCCGACACCCAGAGCTGAAATAGCCACAAAAACGCTGGAACATGGAGAGGCAGCTGAATTCTGGGAGATCAAATTAACTCTTAGCCCTGTCCTGCCGTGCCGCCCCTTCTTCCTGAGCCTCTGTCCTCGTGCTACCTCTTCCTCCCAAGATCCCGCCCCCCATCGCTCACCCTTACAGCCGGTAAAAACTGATGGGGCCATGGCCCCCTGGCCCACTGTTTTCCGGCACACCTGCTTCAGGGAGGGAGCACAGAAATGGCTGCTTGACTTCTTTGATTCCTGCATGGAGGTACCCAGGCTGTGCAGACAGGCCAAAGTGGTCGCACTATTCAAACCACATAAAGACCCCAAACTCTGTAACATTACCACTCAATAGCCTTATTCTGCTTACCCTACAACAGGGGTGGGCAAACTATGGCCCGCAGACTGGGTCTGGCCCGCCAGCCATTTTAAGCCGGCCCTCGAGCTCCTGCTGGGGAGTGGGGTCTAGGGCTTGCCCCATTCTGGCCGAGGAGCAGGGTTGGGGGCTGCTCCACGCGGCTCCTGGAAGCAGTGGCATGGCCCCCCTCCGGCTCCTATGCGTTCCAATGGCCCCCTCTGGTGCTCCAATGGGAGCTGCAGGAGCGATTCCTGTGGACGGGGCAACGTGCAGAGCCACCTGGCTGCACCTCCGCATAGGAGCCGGATGGGACATGCCGCTGCTTCCGAGAACTGCTTGAGATAAGCACTGTCCAGAGCCTGAAACCGAGCCTTTCCCCACACCCCAATCCCCTGCCTCAGCCCAGATCCCTCTCCCACCCTCCAATCCCCTTGATCCCAGCCCAGAGCACCCTCCTGCACCCCAAACCCTTCATCCCCAGCCCCACCCCAGAGCCCAAACCCCCAGCCAGCTTCCTCACCCCCCCCAGCACCCCACTCCCCCGCCCCAGCCTGGAACCCCTCCCGCACACTGAACTCCTCATTTCTGGCCCCACCCCAAAGCCCACACCCCCAACCAGAGCCCTCACCCCATCCCACACCCCAACCCCAATTTTGTGAGCATTCATGGCCCGCCATACAATTTCTATTCC